AAAAAAAATAAAATAACAAAACACACAATACATCTAAATAAAAAAACAAGAATAAACAAACAATTTAAAAACAAGTCTAATATTCCCAAATCCTTAACTTTCATTAACTTATTTCAACGACCTCCTCACACCTCCCTTTTTTGTATTCTAGTTGTTAATTATCTCAGCAAATCCTTTCCATCTTTCACAATATTCTGTCATTTTGATTACCTTAATCTATTTTAACCTTATCTTACCTAAAAAGCCCTAAAACTTAAAACTTAAAACTTATATATACCAAATTCTTTTAACCATAACATATTCTTTCATAATTCTTTTTGACATTTCTGCTAGAGCCAAATAATTTCATTCCAACATTTTTCTAATACTCATTAATTTTACAATACTTTTCTAAATAAATTTTGAAACTTTCTTCCAATCTTCATCCATCGTCTCTTCTTCCTGATCTCGGGTTTTGTCAGTCCTTTCTCGTCTATCTAATCCATCAACCTGGTGCTCTTATGTCCGAGGCTCTTAAATCTTTTCCATGTCCCTTCTGCAGGTCTTCTTCTTGTTTATACCTGCCCGTTACTTTATCTTTTGTTGATCTTTTTCTTATTTCCTTTCCTTTCTCATTGGGGGGTAGGTCTCGGGAGGACTCCAATCCAAAAGTATCTCCATCTCTCCTCAGCAGATCAACCCATTCCCCACAGTCCCATTCCCCACAGTCCACACTGTAATCCAGAAAGTATTTAAAAGCATGTTTCAAAGTCTTTCCAAAATTAAGAGCCCTCACAACTCCAGACCCCCCCTGGTCCACTCCAGATTCGAACTTCAAGAACAGCGGCTTATACTCCTGCAAGGCCTCAGGTCTCTCCATTTGTGTTATTTGAGGTTCAACAACAACCTCCTCCATTTTCTTCTGCCCTTGCGCTTGTCCTATCAAAACAGATTCCTGGGCTGGTTCCTGAATGGTTTCTATATGGGTATTCGCCGTTTTGTCCAAAGTTTTTTACTGCGACAGTCATCAAATCCATCTTCTCATGCATCTGCTCCAGCAAAGCACTTGTCTTGCAAAGAGCAAGCACCAAGACTTCTTGTAAACACATTTTTCTCCCCAAGGTTAGAGTCTGGTCTCACGATCCTAATCATACAGCTGTGAGGTCCCCAGATCAGCTCCGGCAACAAATTAACAAGCTCCCTCTAGAGGAGACAATTTCTATTTGTATCCATCCTTTAAAAGCAGGACTAACAAGGAAAAATTACTTTCACTTTTCAAATACTTTGTTTCTTTTGATTGCAAGAAGCAACATTGGAATCAATATATTTCTCTCTCTCTCTCTCTCTTTTTTTACTATCTGTCAAAAACGTTCCGTTCATAGTCGATGAACTTTCCCCATAAATTTCTGTCTCTGACACCCCGTTCCCAGGTTTGAGACGGTGGAAAATTTTTCTTTCTTTACTCTCTCTCCAGCAAGCTTAAACAGTCAAAAATCCCCCTCTTTTCTCCTGCTTCCAAGAGGGGTTTTGGTGGTGAATGAAGGAAATTTAGAACTTTATGTACGACTTTCCAGACTTTAGCTTACAAAGTTTTTGCTTCCATCTATTTACAAAAAACGGGAGGCAGACTTCCTGTTTAGAACCTTCCTGTTTCAGTGCCAAATTAAAATATTTCTTAATACTTAAACCAATTTTCCGTTCTACTCACGGGTACTTGTTTAGAGTCCAATTGTCCACAGGAAAAGGTCAGCGCTCTCCGGCAACAGCTGTGCGGCTTCACTCCGTAAAAGTAGCGGTTGATTCAAAACACCGTGCCACTCACCCCACGTCGCTTCGGACCCCCGAAAAGGGGTTTCCCTGCAAGTAGGGGAGGCGCTCCTGGTGTCAGCCGAATCCCACGTTCCCAGGCTTCCTCCACCTGGGATTTTTAAAGGGTCTCCGCCTTCGCCGCAGCGGCAAGACTCTGTCAGAGGAACTCCGCCATTGCCGATGGCACTGTCCTGGAAGATCAATTTGACTTCCATTTGTAGGATGGTGTGAGGCAAGTTCTAAATGACTGTCCCAGCACTTTTCTGAGCAATGTTTAGTTCTGTATCAGCAGAAAGGAAGCTACGCTGCTCCATGTGACACACAATCACAGCAAATGCAGCCCTAGAGCAGGGGTGGGAGCATCAGAGTAAGCAAGGAAAATCTATTGTAGAACTGGGAAATTAATCCAAATCCTTCTTGGCAAATCTGCTTATTTAATATGTTCATTTAAATTCATTTCACAGTCAAGGAAAATGAGATTTTAAAAAAATGTTTATTGATGTAAGTTATTGGGGTGGGGGCCGGAGAGATAAAGCTTCTCTCTCTTTATCCCAAGAGAGCTTGAAGTGTGGGAACCTGAGCGGCAGTGAAGTGTCAAATGTAAAATCAGATGTGAAGCAAAGTTTCTTGGTTCACCAATAAACAAATTCAACTCTTCCCATGCACAAAGGGGGTAGGATATTTGTTGGTTTGAATCCTCATGCCTGAAAGTGCTGATCTGAACCTCTAGCATTCATTGGCTAATCTACGCAAGCTTCCTAAACAGTCCTCCAGCTCTTTCAGACTATAACTCCCATCAGCCTTCGTCAGCATGGCCAATGGTCAGAGATGTTGAAAGTCATAGTCTGAAACATTAGTAGGGCACCAGGTTCAGAAAGGCTCTTCTAGGTCCAAGGTTCTCATTCATCCATGGACAATGCCTTCTACCACACCCCACAAAATTCAACGCAATGGGTTCCAGAGTCCTGGTATAAATAAAAGACACTTGACACTTAGTATTTTTTGTTTGTTTGCGTGTTTGTTTCCCAACAATCCTGATTTCACTGGACATTTCTCTAGTTCCTGTGGTACCGCATTTAGTCCTGTGGAGTTCAGCAGGTGATCATTCTCCAGCTGACTGCTATTATTTGTTGACAGGTAGAAAGTAATTAGTTATCTCACAGAGTGCTTGGTGAAGCACAGTAATAAGACAAAGAGCACTTATAATACTAAATTTACAGCAGTGAGGGGGGGAAATAATGCAACTGATTTGAGGCAACTGTTTCCATGAGGTTATTGCAAAAGACCCCAGAGATGGTACTCATAGAATCATAGAATCATAGAGTTGGAAGAGACCACAAGGGCCATCGAGTCCAACCCCCTGCCAAGCAGGAAACACCATCAGAGCACTCCTGACATATGGTTGTCAAGCCTCTGCTTAAAGACCTCCAAAGAAGGAGACTCCACCACACTCCTTGGCAGCAAATTCCACTGTCGAACAGCTCTTACTGTCAGGAAGTTCTTCCTAATGTTTAGGTGGAATCTTCTTTCTTGTAGTTTGGATCCATTGCTCCGTGTCCGCTTCTCTGGAGCAGCAGAAAACAACCTTTCTCCCTCCTCTATGTGACATCCTTTTATATATTTGAACATGCCTATCATATCACCCCTTAATCTCCTCTTCTCCATGCTAAACATGCCCAACTCCCTTAGCCATTCCTCATAAGGCATCGTTTCCAGGCCTTTGACAATTTTGGTTGCCCTCCTCTGGACACGTTCCAGTTTGTCAGTGTCCTTCTTGAACTGTGGTACTCATTGTCTTCAAATTAAAAGAAGAAAGAAACTTTCTTCAGATCGTCGCCTTCTATGAACCTCGTTCAAGCAAAACTCTTTCCTAAAAATGTCTGACATCTTTTCATTTGATATAAGAAGTAGGGTTATAGCTTTCTGAGAATAGTATTGCAATGTGATACCCACACCCTATTTAGATGTTCATTCTGCCCTGTCCCCATAAAACAAGATAATGCAGCCCCACTCTCCAACATTTGTTTTGTGTTTGGGCAAGGACACACCAATATGTTTGCACATATATTGAGATTACTCTCTGCTTGTAACTTGAGGAATGGTCGGACATGGGTTTGGGGGCATTCCGTGGCCATGCAATTCCAATTTTAGAACAGTGTAAGAAATGCTGACAAGATCTGTTATAAGAGCTAAGAGCTAGGGTAGTCTAGTGCACAGACAAGACCCTGGGACACGCCTATTCAGTTTTCAGCAGTCACAAAGCTTGCTGAGTTACCTTTGATCTCTCTCTGTCTCTCCTTCTCTCTCTCTCAGCTTAGCCTACCTCACAGGGTTGTGAGAGGGAGAGAAGCCTCTGAGCTTCCTGAAGGAACAGTGGTCTTAAGATGGAAGAAATAAGAAAGTTTCTCCACTGATGTGATATGTTATTGATGTTTTCCAAAGCAGGTAGCTATATCCAGCTGTTGCAGCAGAAACAACCTAGGACACAATAACAGATTCAGATGGCATGTGTTTCTTTGGTATGAAAAAGTGAAAAAATATTGTCAGTCAATTTTCTAACCAGAAAGTAATATTTAAGTTGTACTGTCCTGATAAAGGAAAATAAAATAGTTCTAATCTGTAAGAGCATCTTCTGTGTCATTGTGGGAAATAAAAATTCATGATCCCACTTGCATTCTGTTGCTGCTGCTCCTGCCACTGCTACCATAACTAAACAAGTCTGTGACTGGAAGACCATAAATGAAGGAGGTTGCCCATGAGAGAGGAATAAGCTGAAGGCTTCCTCAAATCTGGAGCCGGCCATATCCTATCCTATCCTATTATATTAATATTTATAGGCTGCATTTCAAGATGAAGGCCTTGAAAAGCAGCTTACAATTTAAAAACATAACTCTTGATGCGAAACCACAACCAGAAGTAAGTGACAAAACCATTAAGAAAAAAATCTAGCAATTAACAAAATTAACAGAACTCTGCCTAAAACAAATCTGCCTGCCTATGTCCAGAAAAAAAATCTCACTGTAATATAAGAGCATTCATGCTGTAATTAATAATCCTTGGCAGTTAAGGGCATAGATCTTGAATAGTTAGTTCACTTCGGGAGCAAAATGAAGAGAGGTGGAGGTCTAGCACCTTCACAGCCTTTGCAGGAAAATCATTTTGCTCTTTTCTTTTGGCAATGAACATGTAAGAATTTAAGACAGAATTGTATT